AAGCTGGAGTTTTCCACTTACCCAACACCCCAGGTGCCCACAGCCATGATCGATCAACATCTCCATCCTGATTACTTACAACATTTTGGAGCACTAAGATTGTGCCTTCATGGTAAACAACGAGGCCATCTATGGCATGTACAACTACAACTGGGACATAGAGTACCTAACCTACATCAACCTCAACAGCCAAATGCTCTCCTACTCATCACAGCTTCTGTACACTTTGATGGACCTGACAGAGTTTCAGACCAACCTGATGTCTTACCCTCACATCCACTTACTCCTGGCCACCCATTGACCAGTCATCTTTGTAGAGGAGGCATACCATGAACAGCTGTCAGTGGCAGAGACCACCGATGTCTGTTTTGGGCCTGCCAAACAAATGGTAAAGTGCAACTGGTGCCATGGTAAGTACATGGCCTGAAGTCTGCTGTACCATGGAGATCTTGTGCCCAAGATGTCAACACTGCCACCGCTGCCAAGGACCGTATCCAGTTTGTGGACTGGTATACAACAGACTTCAAGGTTGGTTTCAACTACCACCCACTGTGGTGTGTTGGAGTGACCTGTCCAAGATGCAGTGTGCCATTTGCACATGAGCAACCTGATCACCATTGCCAAAACCTGGGTCCACCTGCACTACAAGTTTGACCTGGTATAGGCCAAGAGAGCATTTGTGCACTGGCATGTGGGTGAGGGCATGTGGAAGAAGGCAATTTCTCTGAGGCCCTAGAGGATAAAGCTGCCCTGCAGGATTATGAGGATGTGGGCATCAGCTCCTATGAGGGCAAGGATAAGGGGAAGAATAGAAAAGCTGCCTTCAGTCTATTAAGAATGATTATTGCAAAATTCTTTAGAAATCAACAGTCTCCCTGCTTAGTTTTTTTAAAAAAGAAAGAAGGAATGGTATGGTTCAAGTCCATGAGAATTTCAAAGGGAGGAAGATGAGGGTGTTTGCTCCTATAAAGTTTTTTACAAGGCCTCAGAAATCCAATATATGGTTGCTATGAATTGGAATAGACCCAATGACAATGGGTTTCTCTTTGTGTGTGTGTGTTATAGGTAAATAACTTTTCGAAAGCCCAATCATATTTTTATAATACTAGTAATAAATGGATTTAGCCTTCTCTGTGTCACAAATAATTAATGAAAACAAATTATACTTAATCTTCACATTCCACAGTCCTTCCAGGAAATATTAAAACAGGAGCCCTGGTGGCACAGTTGTCACATGTTGGGCTGCTAACTAAAAGTTCATAAGTCCAAAACTAATAGCTGCTCCATGAGGAAAAAAGGAGATGTTCTATTTGTAAAGAGTTAGTCTTGGAAACTCACAGGAGAGTTCTACACTTTCCTGTAGGGCAGCGGTTCTCAACCTGTGGGTTGCAACCCTTTTGGGGGGGAAGGTCGAACGACCCTTTCACAGGGCTCGCCCAATTCATAACAGTAGCAAAATTACAGTTATGAAGTAGCAACGAAAATAACTTCATGGTTGGGGTCACCACAACATGAGGAACTGTATTAAAGGGTCGTGGCATTAGGAAGGCTGGTTGAGAACCACTGTTGTAGGGTCACTATGAGTCAGAATTGACTTGATGGCAATGAGTTTTGAATAAGAACTCAGGCATAATTTCATTATACTTTCAACTTTTCATTATACTTTTCTACTTTCAAACTGTTTATTTAGTATGGTATTTCTCAAAATAAAGTTCAAGTATACAAAATACTTAGAAGTTCATTAATATAAAATTAAAAAGAATTTAGATGTTAACTTTTTCATAATGTAACTCTATAAAAGAAGTATCTAATATAACGAAAATTTGAACATTTACTTGCATTTGTATTATATTATCAAATTAATTTTTTATTTTTTTATCAAATTAATTTTAAGGTGCATGAATGCAACAGCATTAGTGAAATGGTAAAATGCAAAGATCATTTGATTCTGAGTCAAGATACTGACTTTCCACCACTTAATGAGTTGGCCTGCCATCCACATGGTAGCTGAAACCACATGGTCTGCAGTTCAAAATCATCAGCCACCAGACTGAGCTTTCTTCTCTAACACTTAGTGTCTCGGAAACCCACAGGGGGTCGCTATGAGTCAGCACTGATTTGATGGCAGTGAGTTAGCTTTGGATTAATAGTTATTACCTTGCGTCAGTCTCAATGTCATCCTAAATCTTATGTAAAATTAAGATAATTATAACTTCCAGATAACTCTTGAGAGGAACAACCGAAATCATACAAATGGGTACCAAGAAGCAGAAACTTATTCAAGTGTAAAGTACTTTAGAATTGTAGTAGTAATATCATTGTGCTACTTGAAATAAAGGCAAGTAGAGTTTTTAAGTGATAATTAAATTTTTTACTTTTTACCTCTGGCTCACTAAAGGTTCATTATACATAAAGTCAAATGAAACATAATACAAACCATCCTTCTATACTTAGACACACAAGTCTACCAAATCTAAATTGCCACATCCTTCCTACTTGGTCAGTGACAGAATTCAAATTCAAAAATTTCCCCCTTAATCAACTACTTTTTAAATCTTCAGGTACATTTTGTTCCAAACAATCATATTTGTTAGACTGCACATTTTAGAATGAAGTGAAATAAAGCATATGAAACTCAAGATGCAAAAGCAAGTATATATCCACTACTTTTGAGAAAATGGTCTAAATTGTAATCAAATAGATCATGTGACCTTATGAATTACTACTTTCTTTTTTGGACTAGGTAATAAAACATTGTCTTACAAGTATTTTAAAGAGTATCAGTATGTCTATTTGTAGTTTCAGTCTTTACAGGTAATGAACTGTAAAAATTATTCTGAAGCTGAGATTCCAAAGCCTAGCCAACTGGTTTCTGGCATGTTAAAAAAATGAGAAATGAGTAAGAAATGCTGAATTTGGTAAACCAAACTTTAAAATATCCTTTTTTTCATTGTTTAAAAACAATCAAATACGATTTTTACCTCTAACACTTATTTATCACACCAATCTAACCAACATGAAATCATTTAAGTTTTAACCTTAAAATGGAAATACAACAAGGCTTTGAAAGTCTGAGGAAAAACAATTAAAAATTTCTTAAAAATCCCAGGAACTTTTTGAAGCCCCTTACATAAATCCATCAACTAAATCTCTAGGTCTCATCTTCCAAAACAAGTATTTGTATATTTGAAAAATTCCTTATTTTTCAAAGACTGCAATACGTAATCCTAAAATCCTTTTAGAGAAACAATATTCAAAAATCTAGGATGTTTCTAAATAATTTCTTGATACACTATGAGAGTAGAGTCAAAATTAACATTCAACTATTTAGAAACTAAGTATAATTTGCATAATTTCCTTATATACGATGTGTCTCAGCGTGCTAAGAGTTCCATTAATTTGTGGCACTGAGTCAGACTACCAAATAACTAGCATGCCAATCTAATTATGGAAATTTGTCAGACAGTACACGGTTTCTGGGGCAGTGCTAAAAGCACTACTCTCTACTGTCAGATAAAGACCAGACGTATTTCTAGAGATGGAGTCTGTGGAAGAGGTCAAAAGCGGTTTTTTTCTTGCCTAGTCATGCAATTGCCTCACTAACTTTACATTGTTTTAAAAATATAACAAAAATAAAAACTGTCATAAATATAGGACAGAGGTCCATATCAGAAAAAACGTTAATTTTAACTTTTGGTTTCTCTGCATTAACAACTGGGTTAATAAAATGTTATATTCTATGTACAGTTATTAATCAAAAAATGGGAAGAGGGGAGTAATATTTTCTTCTACATTTCCAAGACTTGTCAGATTTGCCTCTTGATCCACCTCAAAGATTAACTTTAATAATTATGTATTTGGTTTCATTCAACTAGTATATAATAACTAGTTGTGATAACTAAATTCTCAATCATCTGAATATCCCTTTTTCTAATAATCTTACTCAAAGATAATTTAACTATATATATATATTTTTTTTTTTGGTTGGTCTAATTTTTATTGTACAGTAGTGGGGTAGGGTCATTATTGGCAGTAATGGTATTCATATGACTTCTAAGGACATTCCGAGTCCAAGCAGGACAGCAATTGAGATGATAAGATTTTACAGGACGAAGATGATAATACAGAATGCAATCATTGAATTCCCCCAGATGCCACACTTTAAATGAACAACCATTCCTGTAGTCGTATTCTTGACTGCTGGCCTTTGCTGAGGATGCGTGGTACAGAGAGCACTTCATTCTTTTTTCTAATTGTGTCAATAACTCTGTGTCCCTGAATAAAAATATTTTAATGACTACTAAATTTCCTCTATTTGACAAATGAGGAAGTTGAGCCTCAGGTGGTTAAGTAATTTGTAAATATATTTTAATAAAAAACTCCACTACACATGATTCAGTGAATTCAGTAAGATTCAAATTACTGGAAGGCATCAGAATAAGCATCTCTAAAAGAAGCACTGGAATTAATTTCAATACCTAAATCGAGGATCCAAATTCAGTGTAATTCCAGGCCATGTGAATTTCTACTTTTAATATTAAAAATTACTTGCAAGTCTTATTTTAAAAGTGCACAAAAAAGTGAAGCTTTTTACTCGGGGGTTTAAATGGAGAGAAAATGTTTTGAGGAACGATGTACAAATGCGCTTTACACAATTGATGTGTGTATGGATTGGGATAACAGTTGTATGAGCCCCTAATAAAATGTTAAAAAATAAAATAAAAATAAATAAATAAAAACTTTTACAATTAAAAAAATAAGGAAAGAGAGAGAAAAAAAAGAATAAACTTCTTTATTCTCAGAGCTCATTTTTCAGCTCCAAAATGCAATCTTTAAGAGCTGCAAGAGGAAGAAATTTACTAAACTGGTAACTATAGAGCCAAGAGGGCAAGAAAGACAGGAAACTCATATCAAAGTAGTGCCATCTCCAAAGGTCCAGAGGAATTTTCACGGTAATTCTACGTTTTGAGTAGACAAACATGGAAGGCTGGTGGGATTACCTGCAACATGAGCTCGCAGTCATCTCTTCCAACAAAAATCATTTCTCGGGGCAGCCTGTGGCGAGTGCCTCCACTGCTCACCAAAAACCAGGATGTTAAGCTCATTTTCTGATTAGCTTCTAAGTCTTTGGCAAAACTACGTCATCCTGCAGAGAGATAATGTAGAAAAATACACATTCAGACATTTTCCTGCTTTAGTCTCTACCACCACAGATCTGCAATCACCTGACTCTATGGAGTGTCCATGGGTCCTAGGAAATGACATACCTACCAAATACAGAACTCAAAAAGAATTGCTACAATATCATAGAAGCCTTTGTTAAGCAAAAGTATAAAAATAAAAAGCTGTCATTTCTCAATATATTCTCTATTAGCCCCAATAAAATGATTTTAAAAAAATCAGAAACAAGAACAGCAACAAAAGATATACAAATACAATAACCTTATGAGCCTACAATCCCTCTGTTGGGTATATACCCTAAAGAAATAAAGAACACAACACGAACAGACATGTGCACACTTACCAAGTTCATCACAGCAATTTCCATAATAGCAAAAACCATGGAAACTGTCGAAAACTCCAGTTGTAGAGGAATGGATAAACAACTTTGGTACATTCATACAATGCAATATTATACACAATAAAAAAACAGTGACAACTCTCTTAAACACAGCAAGACAAGGTCAGAACAAGAGAACATTACATTTAGCAAAGTTAGTCAAACTCATAAAGACAAATATTTAATGACAGTGTTATTATAAGGAAAAAACAAAGAGAAAAAAAGAGAGTGGCTTTCATACCGAAGGATAAGACTGGGAAGACTATGAGGAGGTCAGGGGCAGGAGGTGGGGAGTGAAAGGGGAGGGAAGGAAGGGTAGGAGGAGGAAAAAAAGAAACACATTTTGGGGGGTTTAATTGGATACTACTCGTGACTTGATGAGATGGGCTGTGCAACTACACAGAATATGTTTTTCCTTAAACACCAAAATAAAGAAAGAAATAAAAGAGAAAAAATGTTTGTCTTAGAATAACAAGGGTATGTAAAAAAGGATAGCTACTACAGCTCTCGAGTTCATTTTGCAAGGGTGTGCTCCAAGCAAAACGTGTTTAATTATGACTGTGATCAGTGGATGGCTGCGAAGAAATACTCTCAGTAATATATTTGTCTTGGTGTCACTGGGTGACTTAGAAAAAACAGTTCAATAAAAACGGTGCCTTTCCCGAGGATCTGCTACGCCAGTCAGGCAGAGCTCAGCTCGGAAAAATTAGGGTAACTAATTTTGGGGGATCACAAAGATTTTTCTTGAAGCATATAGGATAACCATTGGGGCTTATAATAGTTTTACAAATTGAAAACTGCATGGGTGAGGAAAAGGGCAGGAAAGTTTTGCCCAGAAACTATTTTCTATCATGATAACACACACTTCAAGAATAAGCAAGGACTGTCTGTCCTAGAAATAATTTTATTGAAAAATCTTAACACACCCACCCTCTAGCACTGATCTTTGCCACTACAGACTTTTTTTGCCCTCCAAACTCAAATAACATTTTAAAGGAATGTAATTTGAGTCCCTCGAGAATGCCCGAACTGCCACTGCACACTGAAGAGTGTGGAATTCTCAGGGAAAGGTTGTTGGTGTTGTTAGGTGCCATCACAGCAGCCATATGTATAACAGAACAACCTATTACAAGGTCCCGGACCATCGTCACAACCGGTCTCTTATGATGAAGACCCCATCGATGCAGCCGACGTGTCAATTCCTTTGCCAGAGGACTTCCTATTTCTTGCTTTACCAAGTATGAATGTCCTTCTCCAGGTCTCTCCAGACAACATGAGACAAAGCCTCACCATCCTTGTCTTTCAAGTGTATTCTGGCTGGACTTCTTCCAAGACAACGTTCCTTGCTCTTTTGGCTGTCCATGGAACTTTTAAGATTCTTCACCAGCAACATAATTCAAATGCATCAATTTGTCCTTTCTCTTCCTTATTCAATGTCCAACTTTCACATGCATATGAGGCAATGGAAAATATAAGGGCTTGGTTCAGTCCTCAAAGGAAATCCTGCTTTTCAACACTTTGCTACCCATTAGTCCAGTTTTGAAGATATTTTTGTTTTCTTTACATTGAGTTGTATTCCATAATATAGGGAAAGTTTAGAGGTGGTAACACTACCTTCAGAAATGGAGGCTATTCCAAGAACAGTAACTTGACATTCTGTTTATTTTTATTTAATATTTAATACAAGATTTCCATGATTTTGTACCCATAGTTTTTACTTTCCCTAGTACAGTGTATCTTCTATGCATTAAAAACAAAATACTTCCACAGATGTACTAAAACACTTTTAACATAATAATATAGTAATAATGTTTTGGTGCACATTGCAAAGTAGTACCCCATTTTTTATTAGAAATCAGTATTTATTACGCGTATGATAAGGTGTGGGTGGCTATGGCAGGCTGCTGCCACAGAGAGCTGGACAAGATATATGAGAGGCTGGAACTGGCAGCCATGGGTCCTGGGACCCATGGACCATCCTTCTGCTGTACTGTACTGTCCTGACTCAGGCAGTGAGAAAGAAGGATGACTGCACTGTATGGCTGGGGTCACCCGAGTACCACCACATGCAGACCTTCTATAGGTCAAGGGCATGGCCAACAGAACAAGATGTGGCCTAGCCAAAGTCGGGAAGACAGAACCTGGGCTGGGGTTGAATTCACTGCTGTCACTGAGTTCTTGTCTTTTTTTTTTTAGCTGTGTCTGAAAAGCTTGGTGCTAATTACACCACTCTCCTTTTTTCTTATCTCAAAAGTCTGAATCTAATCAATAGCAGGGAATTTCCCTTATTACTTTCACATGGAATAGCAGCCTATGGGGAATAAATTAGAAAGGTAGAAATTGACATATGTCGACAGACCTATGTGGCTTAATATGTTATACATTTATTGAGCGACTACCTTCAAACCCACCAGCCATTCCTTGGGAGAAAGATGAGGCTTTCCACTTGTGAAAAGATTTGCAGTCTTAGAAATCCACAGGGGCAGTTCTACTCTGTCCTATAGGGTCACTATGAGTGAGAATAAATTCTGACAATCAAGGAGACCTTGTTCTTAACAGAACTCTGGGACTAGTTCATTCAACAATCCAGGAATTGTTACTGGACAGTTTGCAGAGGTTCATTTGTAACTACAGATTGATAACCTGGGGAGACCCTTATATATTTTACTATTTGTGTTTATTTATACTTTAAAATGTTGCTTTCAATCACTTGTGATTCACACTAAGGCCCAATGGCATGAAGAGTTTGAGAGACCTTCATTACTATAATGCTCGAGTTGAGAAAGTGGCAACAATAGTGTACTTGCGTGTGAAAACAGCATTAAAATCTTATACTCGAACTACAAAATAAAGCAACACAAAATACAGAGCAAAGAAATATTTGACTCATTTTAGTGGGCTGGGGGAGGGGGAGTTACCACATAAACTAACACATAAATGATAATAAGTGTATGTAGTTATTTGAGCTAAAACACATGGTAGAGCAGTTCATCCTTTTGCTTCTGGCAATCAGCTGGCTGATTCAACACCAGATGGCATTACAGAGAATGAGGTATTCAGGGTAAAACACGACAGCCTCACATTAGGACTATCTATGTACACTGTTGAAAATGCATTCCTCTAACCTGTGCAAGTGTCGTTTTAGTAAGATACTATCTGTTTATATTATTAATTTATCCATACTGCCAACTTTTCCTGTGGTACCATGATGCATGAAAAGGTTTAAAAATAATCTCATGAGCTTGGCTCAATGCCTACCTCGATGTTTCCTGAATAAATAGTAGGAAAAAGATGTGGTGTCCATAATAAGATAAATAAAAATTGAAAACAAATGAGAAGTGACAAATTTTACCTCCCAAAATTGTCATCTGAACCAATAAAGCTTATAAACACTAAAATGAACTCACTAAGTCATTGTATCAGGCTTCCTTAACTGGTAAAATATCTTTTTAGTCTGTCATATCAAAAAGGAGTAACAATCTC